CTTTCGCTCTTCACTGTATCATTATCTCTTGTATGTTATTGAAGACGCCTCCTGCGATTCATCGCCGCCCTCCGACTTTCGGAGACGTCCGTGTGGTGAACCGTTGGCTGGACATCCAGCAGCCATGCCAGTGAACTGCGTGTCACCCCGGTCATTCGGGAAACCATTGGGGGAACACTGGGAAGGGACTCTCTCTGGGGCTGATTTCGGGCTCTTGGGTCTTCCTGGGGTCCACCTGGGGCCCGCTTGGGGCTGTCCTTTGATTCGTTCTGGGAGTTTTGCGGCGCTCTTTGGCCGTCCGGCGCCGTTGGATGCCATCTCGAGGGCCTCTCTGGGTCGTCGGTGCATTTTCAAAGATCTGTTCTCCCAGCTGACGTCTATATTCTGCAGCAGCGACACGGGTGCAGGGCGGTTCTTCTCCAGCAGCGGACTATCACTGAACCCTTCGCCCACCTCCTCATCCTCCTCGTTCTTCGATTTCCCAGTGGTGCCGGCCTCACAGGGACTTCACAACCACCAGCCTCTCCATGGGGGTACAGTCGGGGCGCTGAACAAGGAACCCTTTTCGTTTGGGAGGGGCTCCGTGTTCCTTAATTGTTTCGCAGTTTGCCTTAAGTTGTCCTTAGGTTTTCGATGGGGAATCGAAGTTTAACTCATGGAAAAAAGGGGCCTCGTTCCTTATCTAGGGTTCCTTAGGTCAACGCCCCGACTGCAGCGTGCAGATGACTGTGGCCCAGGTCACCCCCCACAAGGCGCGGAGGCGATCGCGCTGCTCGCCCTGCGCTCTGGGGCAGGGCGCCCCTCTTCTCTAGGACCGCGGCGCGAGAGGAGGAGGAGGAGGAGGAGGAGGAGGAGGAGGAGGAGGAGGAGGAGAGGAGGAGGAGGAGGAGGAGGAGGAGGAGGAGGGGAGGAGGAGGAGGAGGAGGAGGAGGAGGAGGGGAGGAGGAGGAGGAGGAGGAGGGGAGGGAGGGAGAGGAGGAGGAGGAGGAGGAGGAGGAGGAGGAGGAGAGGAGGAGGAGGAAAGGGAGGAGGAGGAGGAGGAGGAGGAGGAGGAGGAGGAGGAGGAGGAGGAGGAGGAGGAGGAGGAGGAGGAGGGAGGAGGAGGAGGGGGGAGGAGGAGGAGGAGGAGGAGGAGGATGAGGAGGAGGAGGAGAAGGAGCAGGAGGAGGAGGAGGAGAAGAAGGAGGAGGAGGAGGAGGGGCGCGACGGCAGCCGCTGCCGCCGCCCCCGCGCGGCGCGAGGCGCGCGGCGGGGCATCCCTGGGATGCTCCTCGCAGCGCTTGCCTGGAGCCGCGGCCCCGTGGCAAAGATCACCCCCTAAAGAGCATGTGGGGGCCGCAGCGGGGCGCTCTCCAGGACGCCTGCTCCTCTCCCACATCCCCTACAGTCATCGGCCTGACCTAAGGAACGATACACAAGGAACGAAGCCCGTTTTATCCCAAGGAATAACGCATAAGGAACGAGAAATGACACACAACGCATAAGTAGCTGTAAACAACGCATGCAAGCCTGAGGAACGACCGAGCCCCTTTTGAAAAATAAGTGTTCCTTATTCAAACCGCTCACTGTACCGCTTCTCCTCCCGCGCGTCCTGTTCCTCCTCCTGGTCCTGTTCCTGATCGAGCTTTCGTGGCCTGCTTCTTCGTCTTCCCCACCCCCGAGCACATATATTGGCTCGAGCCATCAGGACCCAAGCGCCGCCGCGTGCCCGAACATGTTGGCTCTGGTTCCGGTGCAGAGGGCAGCGCCGACGAGTTCAGTGCATGGGAAGGTCGAGGAAGGTACAGGAGGACATCAGTGAGGCGACGGATGAAGGGACCTTGAAGAATGGCCCCGAGCATGAGGCAAATTGCGAAGCGATCAAGGATTCGTCCACATCCAAGTTTACCTTGTGGGACCAGTGCGCCGCAGAAGAAGACAATCCTGAACTGGAGGATCAGTATGAGGCACTGGCGAAGCTCAACATCGAGCCTCAGCGGCTGCCTGAAGGTTCCAGCATCCGTGCGGCCGAGATGGCCAGCAGGCTGCTTTCTTTGCTCAGGCTCAACCTTCCTTCCGTGAAAGTCAGCAGCGCTGCAGAAGAAGAGAACCCCGAACTGGAAAACCAGTACGAAGCGCTGGCGAACCTCAACATCGAGCCGCAGCTGTTGCCCGGCGTTGGCAGCATCCGGGTCACAGAGAGGATCGGCAGGCTTCTCTCGTGGCTCAGATTCAACCTCCCGTCCGTGAGGTTCAACAGGAAGCTGCTGCTGATATATGCCATCGTCGCGCTGAACGGATGGGCCCTGGAGATGTTCGACATCCACCGGCCGAGGCTCATGCGGAGGTATTATGGCACAGAGCTCGAGGGGGTCGTCCTGACGGCGCGCGTGAGGGTGTACACGGCCTGGGTGTTCATGGTCGGAGCCCTGGCCATGGGCGTCCTGCTCGACATAGCAGGGGCTCGGTTCGCGTACGTCCTCTGCCACGTGGCCACTGCAATGTGGCAGGGAGTGTACACCGCAGGCGTCTCGGTGTCGGCGCTGCAGTGGAACCAGGGCTTCAGGTTCTTTCACCACAGCGGCGTGATCACTCAGGCACTGCTATCCCAGGAGCTCCTCGACGGGGATCGCGCGATCTATTTTGCAATGACAATGGCGATCAGCAAGACTTTCCAGGACTTCGGATACAGAGGGGTCAATCGATTACCCCCGTGGTGCCGGCTCAACAACCCGATGGGGAAGACGAGGCTCGGTGTAGTATTGTCTTTGTCTTGCGCATGCCTCGCTCTGGCCTTACCAGATGCAGCTCCGGAGAATGCCATGCAACCAGCCATGAAAGACGAAGCCCCCAAATATCAGGATCGTTCGAGTAGAAGTGCCCGTGAAGTCCGCCAACAATCGGGCAAGAAAGCTCAGGCTGTTAGCTCCCCTTCGTCAATCCGATCCTTATCCTGTGCAAGGCTTCTTGCAGATGCATCGACAAAAGCTGCCGCGCCGTCGGCTGTCAAGGACTCGCAGCACACTGAGATCCATCGGAATCAGCCCAACTCGAAGGATACTTCCTCTGGGGTTGACGGTAAGGTAGCGCCAGTGGCTGCTGCCCAGTCCTCAGTCCGCGGCGCTTCTTCCTTGCTGCCTTCGCCTGGGGTAACACCATGGAATATACGTCGCATCGGCGTCGCTAAAATGATGTCTGTGCTGTCGCGCCCAATGGTGCCGTCGATTATGGTGCTGCATTTTATTCAATCGCTTCGCTCATTCCGCCGGCCCATATTGCAGATCGCTACTGCTTCGCCGTGGGCCCGGGACCATTGTGGCGCCGCCGAGGAGGAGGAAGATGAGGATGGGGAAGGGGAGGGGAGGAGGAGGAGAGGCTGAGAAGGAGATGAGGAGGATGAAGATAAGTAGGAGGAGGAGGAGGGAGGAGGAGGAGGAGGAGGAGGAGGAGGAGGAGGAGGAGGAGGAGGAGGAGGAGGAGGAGGAGGAGGAAGGGGAAGGGGCGGAGGAGGAAGCCTCTCGTTGGCATCTTGTGTTGCTCTTGGGGCCAAGCAGGATCGTCGTCAAGATGCTTCTCTGGGAGGCCTCTTGGGGTCTTTTGAGAAGCCGTTCGGGGGCGCCTGGGCGGAATTTTTGAACTTCTGGGGCCTATTGGGGCCTCTTTTGGGCCTCCTGGGGGCCTCCTGGGGCCTCTTGGGGGCCTCTTGGCGGCATCTTGGGGCCTCTTGGGGGTTGGGGCCTCTTAGGAGCCTCTCGGGGCCTCCTGGGGCCCTCTTGGGGCGGAAGGCTAGAGTTTTCGGCTCGTGGTCCCCCTCTTGGGCCCCTCTTGGGGCCGTCTTGGGGCCGTCTTGGGCCGTCTTGGGCGCCTCTTGGGCCGTCTCGGGGCCCTCTTGGGCCCTCTTGGGGCCCTCTTGGAAGCCTCTTGGCCCGTCTTGGGGCGCTCTTGGGGGCCTCTTGGGCCGTCTCGGAGCATAGGATGGCCGAAAAGGCGACAAGGCCAAAGTCCTTCCAAAACCATCGTGAAATTTATGATTTTGGCCTCTCGGGCCCTCTTGTGAGGCCTCTTGGAGGCCACTTGGAGGCCTCTTGGGCCGTCTTGGGGTCATCATCGGCGTCTTGGAGCGCTCTTTGGGCGTCTCGGGGGCCTCTTGGGCAGTCTTGGGGACCTCTTGGGTCAGGAGGGGGGGTAGTCGATTGCGCCCCTCCCCTCGGAGGCCACGATCCTCGTGAGGGGGTCGAAAAATTGCCCGGTCTGGCATCTCTGATCCGAGTGTCCCGGGGGTGACCCGGGGGTGTCCCGGGGGTGTCCCGGGGTACTTTTCGTCCGGGGACCCTCAGGGGCGGCCCCGCGCGCGCGAAGTAGAATATTGTTAACCAGTTACCGGAGATCTTAGCACGCCCTTGGCCCGTTGGGCCGGCGAATTTTTTCGATGGATTTTCCGCTTTGGAAGCGCGGGAGACCACACTATTATGAAGAGCGTTGGGGTGTCGACCGCATCGAATGGATACGGTTCGTTGCCAAATTAGCTTACGTTAGCGGCATTGTCATGAATGTGGTGTTGTCTTCTGTAATTTTCCGGGTGTTCCGGCATTCAATTTCACCCATCTACGCGTTACAAGTTGCCCTCAACGCAAAGATTTGCCGCTGGCTCTTATTTTTGTTGGAAGATGCTTCCCATGCGTATATGTGCACAGTCGCCTTTGGATCGACATGCCCAAAGACAGTCGAAGAGGTGTTGATCATAGTGTTCGACTCGACGGATGGTCTTGTCACTAGTGCGAGCTGGACACTTTTCAAGGTACTGACGGCCTCTGCAGTGCCCGATCACGAACGAGGTACTATATTCGCGTTCGCAATGGCACTCGAGATGTTAGTAGCGCAGGCAATCGATGGATTCGTGGGCGACGCCCTTTACAACGCTGGGGGTGTGTATCTTGTGGCTTCAGCATGTGCGGCTTGCATGTGCGTGATGAGCTTAATTCTTCACTACCATGTGCGGCCTCGTTTCGCGAAGCGCGACGGATTCTTCGCTGGGCAGTTCATCCAAGACCATCAAGATCACACCGCCCGCCCCCGGAGCTCTCCCGCGACAGCTTTGGCAAGCGCCTCGGCCCAGCACGGCCCCCAGCAGAGCCCCGGGCGACCCAAGAGCAGGCCAAGGGCGGCTTGGTGCCTCTGGAGACCGAGCCCGAGCCGAGCCCCGGCGCCCGGGCGGCGCCCCCGAGAGGGTCCGCAGCAAGAGCGCCACGGAGGCTCCGCACAGCGACGGCACACTGCAGGGAGCAGCACTCGGGGAGCAGAGGAGGCGCTCCGGAAAGGGCCTCGTCTTCGAGGGCCGAGGGAGCTGCGATCTCCTCCTCGGCGGAAGACGCTCCTCCTCCTCCTCCTCCTCCTCCTCCTCCTCCTCCGGCGGAAGCTGGCGGACGTAAAGCGAGGGCGGCTCCGCCCGCAGACGCCGGCGGAAGGGCGGCGGAAGCTGTGAGCAAGGAGCGGAGTCCCGAGAGGTGGCACGTCTCTTGGTGGGTCAGGGTTTCCGGAGCCCGCCAGATGTTGGGTTCGTCCCGGGGCCCAGTTCTCGGCCGCAGCAGTCAGCACGACCGATGGATTCCAAGGGCATCTAGAGGCCCAGATAAAGATCAAACAGTTTCGCAGGCCAGTCAGGAACACTCGCGGGCTCGATTCTTTGGTGCCCAAGTGGGCCTCGGTGTGCTTCGCTGGGAAGCTTTGGAGGAACGTGTTCCCCAAACGTCGGCTTGACCACGGCACGCGAACACGGTTCCTTCACTCAGTCCTGTCCCCGCGTTTACGTCGGACCCCCGAATGCGCTTGGAAAGCGAGTTTGATCTCGACCTCATCCAGGGTCTTGCTTTTGAGCCTCCCTCGCTTCCTCACACAGAGTCTCGAGCGATGCAGCATCGCAGTGGGCCCACGTCGGACCATGCGGAGCTTCTCGAGGGAGCCCCGGGGGTGATAATATAACTGCAGGCGAAGGCGCTGGGCAGTCCTGCGCGCACGAGGCACCCGCGGCGGCCGAAGGGGCAGAGGGGTACGGCGGGGGCGGCGGCTCACGACACTAACAAAAACACCGCCCGCCCCAAAACGCAATTCAAATTTTCGCGGAACAAATGCTTTCTTGGTGTTGGTGTCGGTTTTTGTTCCCCACATCCAAAGTGGGGTTCTTGTTTTCTCTGCACACGCCGCGCAGGATCTCACCCCCCTTTCCTCACTCACACACTCACACACTCACGCATTCATCATCACCACCACCACCATCATCATGAATCACCACTCATCATCATCATCATCATCATCATCATCATCATCAGCATCATCATCATCATCATCCTCATTATCCTCATCATCGTCACCATCATCATCACTCGATCATTCACTCATCATCATCATCATCACTCACTCACTCACTCACTCACTCACTCACTCACTCACTCATTCACTCACTCACTCACTCACTCACTCACTCACTCACTCACTCACCAAACTCACTCACTCACTCACACACTCACTCACTCACTCACTCACTCACTCACTCACTCACTCACTCACTCACTCACCATCACCACTCACTCACTCATCACTTCGTCATCACTCACCCCCCAGCTTGAATATGGATGAAGTCTCAAGCGGGAGCTTCGTGTGTGAGTGCATTGCGAGGGAGTCTCAGTCGGGAGCCCCCTCCTTATGTGTCCCGCATTTCGTGTTGGTAATCCGAGTGGGTCATCGGAAACGCGTAACTGTCGTCACTTTTGGACTCCTCGAGCTTGAATTTGGGGGAAGTATCAAGCGGGAGCCTCGTCTGTGAGTGAATTGCGAGGAAGTCTCAGGCGGGAGCCCCCTTCCTCTGGGTCCCGCACTTCATGTTGGTAATCCGAACGGGTCATCCGAAACGTGTAACCGTCGTCACTTTTGGGCTCCTCATGCTTGACTATGGGAGAAGTCTTAGGCGGGAGCCATGTTTGTGAGTGAATTGCGAAGGAGTCTCAGGCGGGAGCCCCCTTCCTATGGGTCCCGCAGTTCATGTTGGTAATCGGAGCGGGTCACCCGAAACGTGTAATTGTCGTCACTTTTGGGCTCCTCAGGCTTGCATTTGGGGGAAGTATCAAGCGGGGGCCTCGTCTGCGAGTGAATTGTGGGAAGTCTCAGGCGGGAGCCCCCTTCCTATGGGTCCCGCACTTCATGTTGGTAATCCGAACGGGTCATCCGAAACGTGTAACCGTCGTCACTTTTGGGCTCCCCAGGCCTGAATGTGAGGGAGACGTAACAGGCGGGAGCCTCGCCTGCGAGTGAGTAGTGGGGAAGTCTCGGGCGGGAGCCCCCTTCCCATGGGTCCCGCACTTCCTGTTGTCCCAACGGCCTGGCCCGCGGGGCTGTCCCGACCGCCTGCCCCCGCGCCCCGGCGGCCCGCGGGGTTGCCCCACAGGCTCCGCGCACCGGCCGTCGGGGACTGCGCGCGATCTCTGGCCTCGGCGGCGGCGGCGCCGGGGAACCTCGAGTAGCCTGCCCCGGCCAGGGGGAAGGGGAGGAGCGCGCGGAGAAGAAGCAGGGGAAGGGCGAGGACGGGGAAGGGGTAGGGAGGGGGTGATGCTGAGGAGGAAGTGGAGGAGGAGGAGGAGGAGGAGGGGGAGGAGGAGGAGGAGGAGGAGGAGGAGGAGGAGGAGGAGGAGGAGGATAAAGAGCAGGAGGGGGAGTAGGTGAGGGCAGAACGGCGGGCGAGAGGAGGGTGTCCGGCAGGGCGAGGAGGAAAAGGGTAAGGGCAAGCTGAACATATTATCATGTGGGGTCCTTCCGTCGGGGTAATTCTCCCACACTCGTTCGGCCAATGCGTAGGAATTTCTGGTTTGAGCCACACGGCGATCCCAAACGGCCCCATGCAAGTCCAGATCTGCCCCAGTGCAGCCGAAGGCAGCCCCCAGCAGGCTTCGCAGCCGGCTTTCGGTCCAGCGGAGGCGGCGTCCTGGAGGGTGTCCGCGACAATTTGCCATGTCGGGTGCAGCCCGAGTTTGTTTCCCGCGAAGGAAACTCCGACCGACTGACTGACTGACTGACTTACTGACTGACTGACTGACTGATTACTGACGGACCGACTGACTGACTGACTGACTGACTGATTGACTGACTGACTTACCACTGACTGGTCGCACCAATTGCGCGACGGTTTTATTCTCGGCGGCCGAGGGCGCAACCTATGGCGCAACCGATCGGAGACAGTTGTATTCTCGGCGGCCGAGGGCGCAACCACTGGCGCAACCGATCGGAGACGGTTGTATTCTCGGCCGCCGAGGGCGCAACCGATGGCGCAACCGATCGGAGACGGTTTTATTCTCGGCCACCGAGGGCGCAACCTATGGCGCAACGGATCGGAGACGGTTTTTTCTCGGCCGCCGATGGCGCAACTTATGGCGCAACGGATCGGAAACGGTTTTATTCTCGGCTGCCGATGGCGCAACCGATGGCGCAACCGATCGGAGACGGTTTTATTCTTGGCCGCCGAGGGTGCAACCTATGGCGCAAACAACGGGGAACGGTTTTATTCTCGGCCGCCGAGGGCGCAACCTATGGCGCAACCGATCGGAGACGGTTTCGTTCTCGGCCGCCGAGGGCGCAACCTATGGCGCAACCGAACGGAAACGTTTTTTTCTCGGCCGCCGAGGGCGCAATTTATGACGCAACCGATAAGAGACGGTTTTATTATCGGCCGCCAAGGGCGCAACCGATGGCGCAACCGAGCGGAGACGGTTGCATTCTCAGCGACCGACGGCCTAACCCATGGCGCAACCACCAGGAGACAGTTTTATTCTCGGCTGCCGAGGGCGCAACCGATGGCGCAACCGATCGGAGACGGTTTTCTTCTCGGCCGCCGAGGGCGCGACCGATGTCGCAACCGATAGGAGACGGTTTTATTCTCGGCCGCCGAGGGCGCAACCGATGGCGCGCCCGATCGGAGACGGTTTTATTCTCGGCCGCCGAGGGCGCAACCTATGGCGCAACGGATCGGAGACGCTTTGATTCTCGGCCGCCGAGGGCGCAACCGATGGCGCAACCGATCGGAGACGGTTTTATTCTCGGCCGCCGAGGGCGCAACCTATGGCGCAACCGATCGGAGATGGTGTTATTTTCGGTGGCCGAGGGCGCAACCTATGGCGCAACCGATCGGATACGTTTTTTTTATCGTCCGCCGAGGTGCCAGGAGAAGGAGGATGAGCAGAGGAAGGAAGAGTAGAACCGAGGACGAGGTCCGAGACGAGGACGACGAGGAGGAGGTGTGGTGCGGCTGGGCAATATCATAGTCGGAGCAGGTGTTGTGCGGGGGGGGGCAGGGATGACTACAGTTTTTAATGCGCATTTCAAGAGGGGATACCACACGCCCCAAACACTGTCGCAACCACGAGGCGGGATCATTCATTCACTCCACGTGGTTCTTGTCCGTAGGGCAGACCCTACATACCTGTGTAGGTTTGCACAAATATGTGTATGTGTAAACATTGTACGTCTATGTACACGTTATAGACGTATGTGTCTTATATATGTATATAGATATAATGATGCTCGCGCCGTTTCGCAACCGTTCCGAATCATGGCTCGAACAGTGCAGGCACAGCACATCTGTACACATGGTGTCCTCCGGCGGCCCTGGGGAATTGTTTCAGATGCGTCGGGGCAGGACAGTCTTGTGGATCTTTTGAACTATCATAGAAGCCTTCGGGGCCACCTTCAATTTGTGTTGGACAGTCCCGAGGCCATCTTCAAGATAATTTTGGGCAGCCCTGGAAACCGTGGAGGTGGCCTTGGGCGATATTTGAGCAGGTTGTGGCTCCTTCGGGAACTCTCGAATCCACCTCGGGGTCATATTTTGCCCTCTTGGGATCATCTCGGGGCTGTTCAGGAGCTTCCTGGTGTACCGTTTGGCCATTTGGGGGCCCTCTAGGTGGAGCCTCCTCTGAGGTCAGCTTTCGGCCAGAAGAGGCTGTATCCAGAGTCAGAGCATGCAGCTGCTCTGTTCCATGACTGAGGTCTCTCGGAGGTAGGTTGCCGGAAAGACTGAGGCCATCTTGGAGCCGTCCTTGGGCTATCGTGGGTCCAATTCGAGGCAGTTTCTGGGCTGTCTGCGGGCCTGTTGGGGTAGCCCTGGGCGCTCCTGCGGGAATTCCGCTCCCCCCCCCCCCCCCCCCCGAAACGACTTTCAGCGGCAGCCAGGGATGCCCATAGGCACCGTAAGGAAGCCTCGCCCTGCTCTGGCACTTCGACATGCGCTCGAAAGAGATATCTGTCGGTAGTTTCTTGTTCGGCAGAGGAGGGCCATGGTGCGGCCCTGCGCTCGCAATGCGTTATGCGAACGCCCGTTTCGCCATGCTTTTCTACGCCTGTGGCCCACGGGGCTGGCGAATCGCTAAGGACTGGTGAGGGGATGCTGTCGTCGAAAAATAGAACCCCAGCATCATCTTTCGGAGCTCCATGCGGATTTCTAGGGTCGGCGCTGCGACCCCCCTCCCTGTCGCGCGGGGCGCGCCAGGGTCGGCGCCGGAGGCGCCGCTCCGCGCGCCAGGGAGGGGTGTCCCAGCGCCGATCCAGGGAATCCGCGCGGAGCTCCGGAAATTTATGTCTATGTGGTTGTTCTCTTCCTCTTTCTCGCCGCGCAGAACGGCTGCAAGGAGTCGCCTGCGGAGCTGGCTTCCGTGGGTGCCTGCCTGGGGGTACTGGCCTGTCGGCTGGGTTCTGAGAGGCCCTCCGCGCCTCATCCGCCCGCGTGCTGCTCTACGCCGTGGTTCCCCCGAGGAGGGGGAGATGGAGGAGGAGGAGGAGGAGAAGGAGGAGGAGGATGAGGAGTAGGAGGAGGTGGAGGATAAGGATGTTGGATGCTGATGCTGATGATGATAAGGATAATGAAGAGGATGAGGATTATGAAGAGGATGGTAATGATAATGAGGATGATGAGGAGGAGGATGGTAATGATGCTGCTGCTGATGATGATGATGATGATTCTGATTATGATGGTAATGATACTGCTGCTGCTGATAAATATGAAGATGAAGATGATGATGATGATGCTGATGATGATGATGATGATGTTGATGATGAGGAGGATGAGGATGAGGATGCTGCTGCTGCTCTTGATGAGGTTGGTGTTGATGTTGATGGTAACAATGGTGAATTTGACGAAGAGAATGATATTATGATGATGATGATGACGCTGATGGTGATGATGATGATGATGACAATGGTGATACTGATGATGATGCTGCTGATGATGCTGCTGGTGCTGATGATGATGGGTATGATGAAGAGGATGCTGATGCTAATGACCATCATGAGGATAAGGATGAGGATGAGGATGAGGATGAGGGTGATGTCCATGATGATGATGGAGAGGAAGAGGACGAGGAGGAGAAGACGGATGACGACGATGACGATGACGATGACGATGACGATGAGGATGAGTATGATGCTGCTGCTGATGATGATGAGTGTGAGGAGGAGAATGATGCTGATGATGATGACGATGATGATTATGATGCTGATGGCGACGATCATTTTCATGATGATGATGCTGATGATGCTGCTGCTGTCGATGATGATGGTGATGATGATGGTGATGATGAGGATGATGATGAGGAGGATGACGACGAGGATGATAATGAGGAGGTTACGATGATGCTGCTGATGATGGATGATGAGGGTGATTATACACCTGATGTCGATGACGACGGCTAAGCTGGTGATGATTGTCATCATGATGGTGATGCTGCTCATGATCCTGATTGTGAAGAGGAGTAGGACGGTGCTGATGTCGATGACGACGACGATGATGATGCTGATGCTGATGATGATGGTGATGATGGTTATAGCGATCATATTGATGATGCCGGTGATGATGATGATGGTGTTTCTGATCAATATGACGATGCTGGTTATGTTGATGATGATGATGATGATGATGATGATGATGATGTGATGCTGCTGATGCTTGAGCTGATGCTGATGATGATGCTGGTGACGATGGTTCATGATGATAGTGGTGGTGATGATGCTGCTGATGATGTGGATGCAATTCATGATGGTGAATATGGCGTTGATGACGACGGCTAAGCTGATGGTGATGATGACGATGCTGACGATGATGATGATGCTGCTGATGAGGTGGGGCAGGAGGGGGTTACGATGACGATACAGATGATGATGATGATGATGATGATGATGATGATGATGACGATGATGATGTTGATGATGCTCATGATGATGAGGATGAGGATAAGGATGAGGATGAGGATGATGTTGATGACGATGTGATGATGATCATGGTGCTGATGGTTTCCATGTTTGTGATGATGGTGCTGATGATGATTATGGTGATGAGGAGGGTGAGGATGAGGGTGAAGCTGGTGCTCATGGATGATAATGATGATGGTGATGATGGTGATGATCGTGAGGAATTTGTTGTCGATGACGATATCTGATGATGATGGTGAGGATGGTGATGATGAGGAGGAGGGGGAGTTGGAGGACGATGACAATGACGCTGACTACGATGATGACGACGATGCTGATCAACATTATGATGATGGTGACGATGATGAGGATGATGCTGACGATGATGATCATGCTGCTGCTCCTGATAATGATGATGGCGATGATGCTGCTGCTGATGATGATGACGATGATGCTGATGATGATGATGATGATGATGATGATGATGATGGTACTGATGATGATCATGAGGATGAGGATGAGGATCATGATAAGGATAAGGTTGATGCTGGTGATGCTTTTGATGATGGTGGATGTGAATATCTATGCTGATGGTGATGATGCTGATCTTGATGATGATGGTGAGGATGGTGGTGATGATGATGGCGATGACGGTGACGATGACGATGACGATGATGATGGTGCTTATGATGATGGTGGTGATGATGATGGTTATCATTGTGATAATGATGACGACGATGATAATGATGGTAATGCTGAGGGTGATGATGATGGTGATGATGATGATAATGATGATGATGATGATGGTGGTGGTGATGATGATGATGATGATTCTGATGATGATGATGATGATGATGATGATGATGATGATGATGATGATGATGATGATGATGATGAGGGGGAGCAGAAGGCGGAGGATGGAGGAAGAGAAGGAGGAGGAGGTGGAGGAAGGAGGAGGAGAAGGAGGAGGAGGAGGAGGAGCAGGAGAAGGAGGAGGAGAAGGAGGAGGAGGAGGAGGAGGCGGGGGGGGAGAGAGAGGTCGGGTCAGGCCAGGTCAAGTCAGGAAGTCCGCGAAAGCTTTTCGACGAGAAGACAGCTGGGGGGGTGAAGCCAATATAGCCCCAGCCCAGTGAGAGAGAGGAGAAGGAGGAGAAGGACATGGAAGGGCATGACGAGGAGGAGGAGGAGGAGGAGGAGGAGGATGATAAGGAGGAGCAGCATGAAGAGGATGAGTGACTGGAGAATGATCAAGGGGAGGATGAAACAACATAGTGGCGGAGGGGGAGGAGGAGGTGAAGGATGGCGCAGGACTGAGGAGGAGGCGGGGGATGGAGGGGGAGGTGGATGGGGAGGGCGGAGGAGGACGAGTAAGGGGGAGAAGGAGGAGAAGGGATGCGTAGGAGGCGGAGGAAGCGGGAGGAGGATGAGGCTGAGGATAAGGAGGAGGAGGAAGAGGGGGAGGAGGAGGCGGTCGAGGGCTGCTGCCCGCAGTTCTGCCCGATTGCGGCTTGCCCTCCAGCTTACGGGCGGCTGCGTCCCACAGCACCGGCAGCATAAGGCGCCCCATGAGGTACATACGATCCTTTTCCATTCATCGTCCCCAGCTTCAGGGCCTGCAGCTTTGCCCCCGCCTCCTTCTCCTCCTCCCTTCTCCTCTCTCCTCCTCCTCCTCCACATTCGCCTTCTCCTCCGATTTCTCCCTAGCGAATGCATTCTCACTGGTGTAATTGTTTTTAATTGTACATACATCTATAGATGTACGTGCATGTGCGCAGGTGCATGTACATATGTGTGCAGGCATTTGTGTATGTATGTATGTATGTATGTATGTATGTATGTATGTATGTATGTATGTTTGTTTGTTTGTATGTATGTATGTATGTATGTATGTATGTATGTACATCTATCTGTCTGTCTGTCTGTCCTTGTCTGTCTGTCTGTCAGTCTGTCTGCCTGTCAGTCAGTCAGTCTTTATGTCTGACTGTCTGTATGTATGCATGCATGCATGCATCTATGCCTGTCTGTCTGTCTGTCTGTCTGTCTGTCTGTCTGTCTGTCTGTATGTGAGTATATACATGTGTGTACTATGTATGCATGTATGCATGTATGTATGTGTATCTGTATGTGTGTACGTATGCATGCAGGCATGCATATATGTGTTATGCATACATGCATACATGCATGCATGTATGTGTATGTGTTATGCATACGTGCATACATGTATGCATGTATGTTTGTGTGTATGTATGTGTTCGCGGATGCATGTATGTATATATATACACAAATGTATGTGTATATATGTATGTATGTATGCATGTATGTATGTATGTATGCAGGTATGTGTGTATGTGTATATGTATGCATGTATGTATGTGCGTATGTGTATATATTTATATATATATATATATATATGTATGTATGCATGTATGTATGTATGTCTGGATGCATGTATGTCTGTCTGTCTGTCTGTCTGTCTGTATGTATGTATGTATATATGAATGAATGTATGTATGTATGTATATAGACACGTATGTGCATACGGACGCATGCGCACGAGACGCTTTCATCTCCTACCGCCTCCTTCCTCCTCTCTCCATCACCCTTCGCCTCCATGTATATGACTCTTACCTGTCGCGCTACACGGCGCATGGGTAGGGCTGCCCGGGCGTTTCGCTTTAGCCTTCCTCACCACTTGTGGTCCTGACTCCTTGTCATGCCCAACAGGTTCAATGATGGACCCTTTTCAAATCAGGCTCTCTCATGGCCTTGCACATTCGCTGTCAAGATTAGCAGCGTTTGCGTCGACGGAGGGCGGTTCCTTTTCAACATGGGGCTCTCGGTTGAGACCTCCGTGGACTGAGCCGCGAACGTTTGACTATATGTAGCAGCTTCGCGGATGGAATGCGGATCCTTTTCAAAGCATGGTTCTGCACGTTTTATAGCCAGGCGTGCAATTTCTGCAACGGTTTCAGGGATAGGGCCATTCATCCTTCTGGCTCGTGGCAGAAAGAAGGTTGCAGGGAGGTGGGCGGGGTGGTTCGTTCTCAAAACGAGTCTCTCGCTGGACACTTCGCAGAGTGCTATGTCCCTACCTTTCTTTTGACACGCATTAGAGTTCATTCGAAGGGTTGAAGGCTGATTTTTTTCCCAGCAGGGCCCTCGCCCGATTGGCAGGCCCACGGGGGGCCCGTCTGTCAAGGGGGCACTCCCTGTTGTGAGCGGGCAGGCTCGCAGGGGCTTGCGAGAGGGGGGGCTTGGGACGGGAGGTTGTGTACCGCAGCATCGTTGACGCATCCTGGGTGCACTCCTTTTCCCGCAGGCGACCGGTCTTTTCGGCGGCCCTGAAGCGGGCGACGCGCGTGCGATCCGCCCCGGCGGTGCCCGCCACGCTGGCGACGCACTCGCCACAGCGCCCCCCTGCGAGAGCGACGTGCACGTTCGCGAGGACGGCCAGCCTTTTCGGCGGCCGACGCACGGGCGACGAATGCGCAACGCACCCTTTGTTTCGAAAGGGGGGGTCAGCGCGCCGGTCGCACTACTGAGCCTTAACAGCTACCTCATCCCCTCTTCCTGGTAGGTGACTCTCCCCTTGTCGCACCACCAGGCGTTTCCGTAGGCTGGGCCATGCGTTCCGCTTGAGACCTCCCTACGCTTTAGTTTGTTCGAGCTGGCAACCTCCAACAGTTAGACGGATTATATGTATAAGCGGCGGCCATCGATTTAGCGCCGCGTTTTGTGTTATTGGTTCAGCATTCGCCAGGACATCGCACCACAACATCTTCTAATAGGTGCAAGGGTGGAAGCCGTCGCGTTTTCAAAATGCGGCTCTCGCCCGAACGCCGAGCACATTGGCCTTCAATGTTTGTGACAGCTACGAGGATGAGGCCGCTTCGTTTTCAAAACTGGGATTTCGCTTGGGCGTCATGCGCATTCGGTTATAACGTTTGCTGCAACAGTTCCTCTCTGGAGGGCGTTTTTTTTGCATTTTTATTTTTATTTTTTTTTGTTCCCCTCAAAAGGGGGGCTCGCATGTCATATTTCTTCAAGGTAAGCCGCCAGGAGTATAAACCTTTGCAAAAGCTGCACGGATGGAGGGCCGTTCCTCTTCGATGTGCGGATCTTCGAGAGTTACTCAAAGCGCAGGCCCACACATGTAAAGTTCTGTAAACGGACGGGAGTGTGTTTTTTTTTCATGCTGAGCTCTCGCTCGGATGGCTGGCATCTGTAGTGCTCGTCTTGCAAGTAAACGCTTCTTGGAGTGCAAAGGGAGGCTTGTGGGGACTTATGAGATGGGGGTTCTTGGGACGGGCGGGTGTGCTCAATGAATGCATCGCTGATGCATCCCTAGGTTGCAATGCCGCAAGAACGTATCCCGTAATTTTCTGGTTCCGCGGAGGGGGGGTGGGCGTTGAAACATTGATGGGCGGTTTCTTAGCTGGGCGCGCAGACCGCTGGGTGAGCGGGCACAAGAAAGTGAAACGGATTATCCCCGACAGTTCGCCAGGGGGGGATGTCAAGCCGCCCGAACCTCGTATGTTATACATCGCTCCTCCCCTTTCGCCCCCCGACATGTCGGCCGGGCGGGCCAGGCAGGCCGCCCGAGATTTCCGCACCATTTCTTGAGCCTCACGATTGAAATTTGCAACAGCCTCAAGGATGGAGGGCGGGTGGTTTTCAATCAGTGGCTCTCGCTTTATCGCCGCGCACATTCGTCTTACAACTTTGCCACAGCTTCACGGATGGAGGGCGGCTCCTTGTCAAAGTGTGGCTCTCACCTTAGCGCCGCGTACGTTCGTTTTATCAGTATGCAGCAGCTCGAAGGAATCGTCTGGTTGAAATCCCAGGGATGGTGTTCTCTTTCGTTCGTCCCAAAGAACACTTTGTAGCTCGGCGTCTTGGACATCATGTTTTTAACGCTTCTAGGTATCGACAAAAAATGATAAATCAACGGTTCTTTGTGTTGCGTTTTAGCTATGTTCTTGAACGCTTTCAGATCAGTTGATTGGGTTGCTCAATACTGCCGTCTACGGTGTCCTCAGTTATGCTCCTTGCGTCTAGTCTTCGCTTTCGCATTGGTATAATTATTTTTTGATTTCTTATAGTTCGTATTCTGTTTTCTTTTTGCTCTTCTCAGGCCGTCGCTGCTGGCTGGTCGCGGGGGATCCTTGCCTACTTCGCGCTGGTGTTAGACCGGTGTTAGGGCGTTGCTTTTTGCGTTTCTTGATCGGCGCGCGGAGCGGGAGGAACGGGAGGCCACAGGAACGGGAGAGCGGGACCGAAGTTGGCAGGGAAGACAGCAGCCCTCGACAAGCAAACACAACTAGCTAACAAAAATATGATCCACAGCGACGGGCCTAAAGACGCTACATAAATGAACGTATGGACTTTTTGGCGTTTCTAGCTTGTTAACTGCCCAACTTTTGCTTCATACAAGAAGCGCCTAAGCCTATGGCTTTTTCAGTGTGAATCAAGGTGTTCTGGCACGATTTAGGCTTGTCACGACGCGACAGTTTCGTGTATTCGCTGTGTTAAAGTCCAGGGAATGGTGTTCTGGCGCGGTTTGGGATTGTCAGGGATTCTCAGGCGACTGTCTTCCGATGCGGTATTTTCCGTGATGAAAATGCAGTCTTGTAGGGACCGATGGAGAGGGAATTTGGAGGAAGGGTTTGTCGCAACATCGTTGATGCGTCTTTGGTTTACACCAGTCCTCATCCTCCTCCTCCTCCTCCTCTTCCTCCTTATCCTCGCAATCGGATGTCTCATGGCAGCCAGCCATCATCTTCCCGTATGGGCAGGGTGGGCTGGAGTTGCGACAGTGTTGATGGCTTCGGGGGCGTGCCCACACCAGTCTGGAGCACATCCCCTGGCGTGCAAGGGCTCCGCAGAAGTTCGGGGCAAGGTCTCCTCCTCTGCTGAACGTGCTGTGATGTCGTGACGGGCCAACTTCCAACCGCCTGCCATAACGAGCAGCTGCCATTTCCACCGCTGTGCGCATTCTGTGTTGGCCCCATTTTCCAGGGCGCTACCGCCCCTAGCATCACCCCGCACGGCCGAAAACATCATTATATGTATTGTCTGCTTGCCGCGGAAGATGGAGGAGGAGGAGGAGGAGGAGGAGGAGGAGGAGGAGGAGGAGGAGGAGGAGGAGGATGAGTCCAAAGTTATGACTCCAAAGTTGCGGCGGAGTTGTTAACATGGCGTTTGGCGTATGCCCGCAAAGGGCTGCCTTGGCTTCTGATCGTGATGGTGTGCGAGCGCCCCGCAGACGTCGTCTGTCTGTTTTGGAGGGCGTCCCAGCCTCCGTGGGGGGAAGCAGCAGCCACTGTCCCGCGCGGAGAACGCACGATCGAGAATCAGGGGCCCGGCCATCCCTGCCAGGACGAGCGAGGGAGATTCGACTAGACGTCAGAGTGACCTTTCGCCGGACTGTCCTTTGGTGCGGGCCCTGTGGGGCCCCCTGATCGCCGAACGCGATGCGATAGCAGCGCCTTGCGCGCCTGTGTTTGGCCCCCCCGCGGCCCCCAAAGAGCCGTGCACCAGAGGTCACTCTTGCCCAGTAGGAGTAGTAGCAGTAGTAGTAGTAGTAGTAGTAGTAGTAGTAGTAGTAGTA